GTATATATATATATATATATATCGGCTATAGGCCTACAACAATAGGCGAGAATTTCTCACCTGGGATGAATGTACCTACGTGATGAAGAGATTAGTGAAACATTGACGAATAATATTATTGTAATAGTTGAATACCGATGAGTGGCATAGTACTGTGGCCCAGTTGGGAAGACTAAACACGTTATAGTAAAGTCATTATGGAACTTTGCCAAAGATTGTAGCAGGCTAGTCTTTGTCATCAGACTTTTTCAACGTAGAGCCATAAACAAAACAAAAAAAAATACACAGGAGCTGCTGATGTGTTTCATATTGGTTTCTTATTTGTTTGTCATCTAATTGGGTACACGTTATTGCAAAGTTATTATGGAACTTTGCCAAAAATTGTAGTTGTCTTTGTTATCAGGCTTTTATCAACCCAGAACCTTAAATAAACACAAGAACTGCAGATTTGTTTCATATTGCTTTGTTATTTGTGTGCTAGTTAATTGTTTAGATCTTGTCCTCTCGCTGGGAAGACTAAACACGTTATTGTAAAGTTATTATGGAACTTTGCCAAAGATTGTAGCAGGCTAGTCTTTGTCTTCAGACTTTTATCAACGTAGAGCAATAACCAAATAAAAATACACAAGAGTTGCTGATGTGTTTCATATTGGTCAGTTATTTGAGTGCCATTTAATTGTACTAACTTCATGAGAAGTTTGAACCCAACTCACTTCATGCTTCAAGAGATATATGGGTGCCTTTATACGTGGAAGTAGGGCTGGATAATATGTGAGGCAGCGTGGTGGAATCAGGCTCTTGTCAATTTTCGGGCATTTAGAGTTATTGGTATCATCTTAAAGCTTGTTCAATCGTCTTTATTTGGAATTTTTAAAATCCATTTATCTTGAATATAAGTCGAGATATTTGCAAGTGAAGGAGGTGGGGGTCACCTGTTTTCAGAGGTAAAATTAGTGAGAAAATGGCCGCCAAAGATTAGTTATTTCCTTAGCTTAAGAGTCCGTGGTAACTGAACATTTATATTCTGGTGCCTTTTATCAACATTTTCCCAGAAAAATCCATACAGAAATGAGTTCTTTGATGGGTATGAAAGTTGTTGAGCCAAAAAACAAAAATTTGGTAAAAATTCACAAACCTGCGGAAAAATGCAAGTTTCCTCACTTTGATTATTTTGTCGAGAGCCTGATTCCACCACGCTGCCTCACATATAGGCATGATATGTGTGTGTGGGGGGGGGGGGGGTGTCTTTCTGGGGCCCGCATCTCTTTTTGGGGTTGTTTTTTTCCCCACTATCCAGAAAATTTTGTAACCTACTTTCTTCTGGGCTTCGGACATTTGAACAGCTGCTATATGTCGACAACAGTATCAGACTGTGACCAGAGTTCTTTGCTTGGCTGTTTTTCTTCCTCCGAACACTTTCTTTTGTTCAATCAACTTTGTGAAGAATAGCCTAGAAAGATATCAGAAGAAAGTAATCAACAAATCGTGCTATACTTTTACGATATCGTGACTTGAGTTTCTTCAATCCCTGCCCCCAACAACATCAGCAACTACTGCAACAACAGCAACAGCTGCTGTCCTCGTTGGGGTTTGTTGATTGATCCAAGTTCTTGTATTGTGCGACAATAATATCGTGACTGCCTAATAATTTCGAGGGGATGGGCAATACCATTTATCGTTTCTATAGAATCGAAACCACTAATCCGTCCTTTGGAAAATGTTGTCATAGATTTTATTGTCATTTTATTCTTTTTTCTTTTTTATTGTTTTTTTGGTCCTTTTTTCGTTTGGCGATTTGTTAACCCTATCCGTACGTCGTGTTTTACTATCGTATCCATACGGCGTGGGGAACTCTGCGCCACCACTTAACCCTATCCGTACGTCGTGTTTTACTATCGTATCCATACGGCGTGGGGAACTCTGCGCCACCACTTAACCCTATCCGTACGTCGTGTTTTACTATCGTATCCATACGGCGT